AGAAGGAGATGGTGTCTGTGAAGAACGAGGAGGCGAGAAGTTCGTGGCAGCTGATGGTGAAGGGGTTGGAGGAAAAGATGATGATATGGAAGGACGAGGAGCTATAATTGGCTTTGAGGGTGAAGGAGAAAGAGATGATGGAGTTTTTGTTGAAGGCGATGGTGAAGGAGATGGACCTTGTGAGGGACTCTGATGTAGGGAGCTATTTTTGGCATTTGAAGGTGAAGGAGACGAGGGAACAATTGGTTTCGAGGATGAGAAAGAAGGAGATGGAGTTTGTGATGGGCTCGGATGTAAGGAGTCATTTCTGGCATTTGAGGGTGAAGGAGAAGAGGGAACAGTTGGTTTAGAGGGTGAAGGAGAAGGAGATGTAGTGTGTGATAAAGAAGGACGAGGTGACGTGTTAATTGAATTTGAAAGAGTAGCTGAAGGAGAAGGATATGGTGTTTGTGAAGAACGAGGAGGCGAGGAGTTCATGACACCTAATGGTGAAGGGGTAGGAGGAAAGGATGAGGATATGGAAGGACGAGGAGCTAAAATTGGCTTTGAGGGTGAAGGAGATGGACCTTGTGATGGACTCTGATGTAGGGAGTTATTTTTGGCATTTGAAGGTGAAGGAGACGAGGGAACAATTGGTTTCGAGGGTGAGGGCGAAGGAGATGGAGTTTGTGAGAAATAAGGACGAGGTGAAGAGTTAACTGAATATGAAAGAGTAGCTGAAGGAGAAGGAGATGGTGTTTGTGAAGAACGAGGAGGCGAGGAGTTCATGGCAGCTGATGGTGAAGGGGTAGGAGGAAAAGATGATGATACGGAAGGACGAGGAGCTACAATTGGCTTTGAGGGTGAAGGAGAAAGAGACGATGGAGTTTTTGTTGAAGGTGACGCTGAAGGAGATAAAGATGACGCTACTGAAGGAGATGGACCTTGTGATGGACTCTGATGTAGGGAGTTATTTTTGGCATTTGAAGGTGAAGGAGATGAGGGAACAATTGGTTTCGAGGGTGAGGGAGATGGAGATGGAGTTTGTGATAGATAAGGACGAAGTGAGGAGTTAACTGAATTTGAAAGAGTAGCCAAAGGAGAAGGAGATGGTGTTTGTGAAGTACGAGGAGGCGAGGAGTTCACGGCAGCTGATGGTGAAGGGGTAGGAGGAAAAGATGATGATGATATGGAAGGACGAGGAGCTACAACTGGCTTTGAGGGTGAAGGAGAAAGAGACGATGGAGTTTTTGTTGTAGGTGATGGTGAAGGAGATAAGGATGACGATGCTGAAGGCGATGGACTTTGTGATGGACTCAGATGTAAGGAGTCATTTTTGGCATTTGAGGGTGAAGGAGAAGAGGGAACAATTGGTTTAGAGGGTGAAGGTGAAGGAGATGGAGTTTGTGATAAAGAAGGACGAGGTGAGGAGTTAATTGAATTTGAAAGAGTAGCTGAAGGAGAAGGAGATGGTGTCTGTGAAGAAGGAGGAGGCGAGGAGTTCATGGCACCTAATGGAGAAGGGGTAGGAGGAAAAGATAATGATATGGAAGGACGAGGAGCTATAATTGGCTTTGAGGGTGAAGGAGAAAGAGATGATGGAGTTTTTGTTGAAGGTGATGGTGAAGGAGATAAAGGTGATGATGCTGAAGGAGATGGACTTTGTGATGGACTCGGATGTAAGGAGTCATTTTTTGAATTCGAGGGTGAAGGAGAAGAGGGAACAATTGGTTTAAAGGGTGAAGGAGAAGGAGATTGAGTGTGTGATAAAGAAGGACGAGGTGAGGAGTTAATTGAATTTGAAAGAGTGGCTGAAGGAGAAGGAGATGGTGTCTGTGAAGAAGGAGGAGGCGAGGAGTTCATGGCACCTAATGGAGAAGGGGTAGGAGGAAAAGATGATGATATGGAAGGACGAGGAGCTATAATTGGCTTTGAGGGTGAAGGAGAAAGAGATGATGAAGTTTTTGTTGAAGGCGATGGTGAAGGAGATGGACCTTGTGAGGGACTCTGATGTAGGGAGCTATTTTTGGCATTTGAAGGTGAAGGAGACGAGGGAACAATTGGTTTCGAGGATGAGAAAGAAGGAGATGGAGTTTGTGATGGGCTCGGATGTAAGGAGTCATTTCTGGCATTTGAGGGTGAAGGAGAAGAGGGAACAGTTGGTTTAGAGGGTGAAGGAGAAGGAGATGTTGTGTGATAAAGAAGGACGAGGTGACGTGTTAATTGAATTTGAAAGAGTAGCTGAAGGAGAAGGATATGGTGTTTTTGAAGAAGGAGGAGGTGAGGAGTTCATGGCACCTAATGGACAAGGGGTAGGAGGAAAAGATGATGATATGGAAGGACGAGGAGCTATAATTGGCTTTGAGGGTGAAGGAGAAAGAGATGATGAAGTTTTTGTTGAAGGCGATGGTGAAGGAGATGGACCTTGTGAGGGACTCTGATGTAGGGAGCTATTTTTGGCATTTGAAGGTGAAGGAGACGAGGGAACAATTGGTTTCGAGGGTGAGAAAGAAGGAGATGGAGTTTGTAATGGGCTTGGATGTAAGGAGTCATTTTTGGCATTAGAGGGTGAAGGAGAAGAGGGAACAATTGGTTTAGAGGGTGAAGGAGAAGGAGATGGAGTGTGTGATAAAGAAGGACGAGGTGAGGAGTTAATTGAATTTGAAAGAGTAGCTGAAGGAGAAGGATATCGTGTCTGTGAAGAACGAGGAGGCGAGGAGTTCATGGCACCTAATGGTGAAGGGGTAGGAGGAAAGGATGAGGATATGGAAGGACGAGGAGCTAAAATTGGCTTTGAGGGTGAAAGAGATGGACCTTGTGATGGACTCTGATGTAGGGAGTTATTTTTGGCATTTAAAGGTGAAGGAGACGAGGGAACAATTGGTTTCGAGGGTGAGGGCGAAGGAGATGGAGTTTGTGGGAATTAAGGACGAGGTGAAGAGTTAACTGAATATGAAAGAGTGGCTGAAGGAGAAGAAGATGGTGTTTGTGAAGACCGAGGAGGCGAGGAGTTCATGGCAGCTGATGGTGAAGGGGTACGAGGAAAAGATGATGATATGGAAGGACGAGGAGCTACAATTGGCTTTGAGGGTGAAGGAGAAAGAGACGATCGAGTTTTTGTTGAAGGTGATGCTGAAGGAGATAAAGATGACGCTACTGAAGGAGATGGACCTTGTGATGGACTCTGATGTAGGGAGTTATTTTTGGCATTTGAAGGTGAAGGAGATGAGGGAACAATTGGTTTCGAGGGTGAGGGAGATGGAGATGGAGTTTGTGATAGATAAGGACGAAGTGAGGAGTTAACTGAATTTGAAAGAGTAGCCAAAGGAGAAGGAGATGGTGTTTGTGAAGTACGAGGAGGCGAGGAGTTCACGGCAGCTGATGGTAAAGGGGTAGGAGGAAAAGATGATGATGATATGGAAGGACGAGGAGCTACAATTGGCTTTGAGGGTGAAGGAGAAAGAGACGATGGAGTTTTTGTTGAAGGTTATGGTGAAGGAGATAAGGATGACGATGCTGAAGGCGATGGTCTTTGTGATGGACTCGGATGTAAGGAGTCATTTTTTGAATTTGAGGGTGAAGGAGAAGAGGGAACAATTGGTTTCGAGGGTGAGGGAGATGGAGATGGGGTTTGTGATAGATAAGAACGAAGTGAGGAGTTATCTGAATTTGAAAAAGTAGCTGAAGGAGAAGGAGATGGTGTTTGTGAAGTATGAGGAGGCGAGGAGTTCATGGCACCTAATGGTGAAGGGGTAGGAGGAAAAGATGAGGATATGGATGGATGAGGAGCTAAAATTGGCTTTGAGGGTGAAGGAGATTGACCTTGTGATGGACTCTGATGTAGGGAGTTATTTTTGGCATTTGAAGGTGAAGGAGACAACGGAACAATTGGTTTCGAGGGTGAGGGAGGAGATAGAGTTTGTGAGAAATATGGACGAGGTGACGAGTTAACTGAATTTGAAAGAGTAGCTGAAGGAGAAGGAGATGGTGTTTGTGAAGAACGAGGAGGCGAGGAGTTCATGGCAGCTGATGGTGAAGGGGTAGGAGGAAAAGATGATGATATGGAAGGACGAGGAGCGACAATTGGCTTTGAGGGTGAAGGAGAAAGAGACGATGGAGTTTTTGTTGAAGGTGATGGTGAAGGAGATAAAGATGACGCTACTGAAGCAGATGGACCTTGTGATGGACTCTGATGTAGGGAGTTATTTTTGGCATTTGAAGGTGAAGGAGACGAGGGAACAATTGGTTGCGAGGGTGAGGGAGATGGAGATGGAGTTTGTGATAGATAAGGACGAAGTGAGGAGTTAACTGAATTTGAAAGAGTAGCTGAAGGAGAAGGAGATGGTGTTTGTGAAGAACGAGGAGGCGAGGAGTTCATGGCAGCTGATGGTGAAGGGGTAGGAGGAAAAGATGATGATATGGAAGGACGAGGAGCTACAATTGGCTTAGAGGGTGAAGGAGAAAGAGACGATGGAGTTTTTGTTGAAGGTGATGGTGAAGGGGATAAGGATGACGATGCTGAAGGCGATGGACTTTGTGATGGACTCGGATGTAAGGAGTCATTTTTGGCATTTGAGGGTGAAGGAGAAGCAGGAACAATTGGTTCCGAGGGTGAAGGAGAAGGAGATGGAGTGTGTGATAAAGAAGGACGAGGTGAGGAGTTAATTGAATTTGAAAGAGTAGCTGAAGGAGAAGGATATGGTGTTTGTGAAGAACGAGGAGGCGAGGAGTTCATGGCACCTAATGGTGAAGGGGTAGGAGGAAAAGATGAGGATATGGATGGACGAGGAGCTAAAATTGGCTTTGAGGGTGAAGGAGATTGACCTTGTGATGGACTCTGATGTAGGGAGTTATTTTTGGCATTTGAAGGTGAAGGAGACGACGGAACAATTGGTTTCGAGGGTGAGGGAGGAGATAGAGTTTGTGAGAAATAAGGACGAGGTGACGAGTTAACTGAATTTGAAAGAGTAGCTGAAGGAGAAGGAGATGGTGTTTGTGAAGAACGAGGAGGCGAGGAGTTCATGGCATCTGATGGTGAAGGGGTAGGAGGAAAAGATGATGATATGGAAGGACGAGGAGCTATAATTGGCTTTGAGGGTGACGGAGAAAGAGACGATGGGGTTTTTGTTGAAGGTGTTGGTGAAGGAGATAAAGATGACGCTGCTGAAGGAGATGGACTTTGTGATGGGCTCGGATGTAAGGAGTTATTTTTGGCATTTGAAGGTGAAGGAGAAGAGGGAACAATTGGTTTAGAGGGTGAAGGAGATGGAGATGGAGTGTGTGATAAAGAAGGACAAGGTGAGGAGTTAATTGAATTTGAAAGAGTAGCTGACGGAGAAGGAGATGGTGTTTCTAAAGAACGAGGAGGCGAGGAGTTCATGGCACCTAATGGTGAATGGGTAGGAGGAAAAGATGATGATATGGAAGGACGAGGAGCTATAATTGGCTTTGAGGGTGATGGAGAAAGAGATGATGGAGTTTTTGTTGAAGGCGATGGTGAAGGAGATAAAGATGATGATGCTGAAGTAGATGGACTTTGTGATGAATTCAAAGGTGGGTAGTTATTATTAGCTTTAGAAGGTGAAGGCGAAGAGGGAACAATTAGTTTAGAGGCCGTTGAAGGAGAAGGAGATGGGGTTTGTGATAAAGAGGGACGAGGTGAAGGGCTAGTTGAATTTGAAGGAGTTGGTGAAGGAGAAATTGATGATATAGGAGGAGGAGTTGTGTTGCCAAACGATTTTGTTGGTGAAGGAGACAGTGGTAATGTAGAAGGAGAGGATGATTGTGGTGAAGAAAGCGATGGAGATGGAGAATGTGAAGGTGGCGGCCTGGGTGATAAAATATTTGGTGGTGTTAATTGTGAAAGTCGTGGTGGCGGTGGGCGGTTATTGGGTTGCATAGGTCGGGAAGGAGTTTGTGGGGGTGGTGGAGGCGGGTTATTCGGTCGTTTTGGACGAGAGGGAGTTCGTGGGGGTGGTGGTGGAGGCCGGTTATTAGGTCGTGTAGGACGAGAGGGAGTTCGTGGGGGTGGTGGTGGGGGGTTATGAGGTCGTGTAGGATTAAAGGGATTATCAGGCCGTGTAGGATGAAAGGGCTTATGAGGTCGTCGCCAACGCGGAAGCCATTGTGGCCGTGGTCGCGAGTGGTGTTCATGAGCAACCACCCCACTCACTATAAGGCATAATAAGATGACGTAACAACATAGTGGCAAAGACCTCGCCATTTTAGATCCTTTGATCATATTATGCAAAATGCTTTGTTTTGGGAGAGTACTACAACAAACCCTTTTATACCTGTGCTTGGCCGTGCATGACTAAACAGTTAGGTATTGAAAATTTTAGCAAGTAAATTTAACATTAATGTTTCATTTGATTTTTCTTCTATCATTAAAGTGTATATACTTCTCTTGGTCAAGAAATGGACCGTATGTGAGGGAATAAACATCACTTAGCCCAGCTGGATATATATACCTAATAAATAAATATTGTATTTATGTATAATAAGCAGTATTTTTCCGACTAGTTAAGTAGTGACTTGTACTAATCGGCTAATGAATAGTACGCACATCGTAAAAATAATTCAAGAACGTTTACTTTGGAGGCTATCTTAAGTAGTAAACATACATACGATGACAAAAAGTTTGATTCAATCAAGTCGGTTAAACATGGATGACATATATATAATAATATCATTGTGCTTTCTATACGTTAATGAAATGAGAAATATTTTATAATTAAAATAAAATTTTCAGCTCCTTTACGTGCTTATCATGTGGTCTTATTAGATTAATAAACATTTTGACTGCATAATTTCATAATATACCACATCTGATCCTTAATATAAGACCCAACTGACTAATTTAAAGAGATTAACAAAGTTAAATAATAACTTAATTATAGCATATATTACATGGTCTCTTTGAAATATGTATGTTTATCATTAAATTACATATCAATTTACAAGTCAAGTGAATTAGTTTTGAAAAAAATATATATAAATATTTAAAGTAATTTATTTAGCTTTCTTAAATTTTTTAAATTAGTTGACTATGACTTATATTAAGAATCAAACATAGTATATAGTTAGAAACGTTGACAAATGTTGCCTGGGATATGTTACTAATTAAAAGAGTTATCGTAAAAATCATAAATTAATATAGTTATATTAATTTTACTATTCAATATTTGACTTTAACTTGAAATAATTCAAATCATATTAACCAATCACTCAAATTAATAATTAAACAAAACTAACGAAATCATATGATCCGAAAAGTAAATTTATGTATGGCTTTTAATGCAAATTTATACATTACTGGTTAATAGAAAGTACGTTTCAACTAACAAGTTATTGGTTGATATAGTAAGCAGTCTCACTTCCGTGACTAGGAGGACACAAGTTTGAATTCAGGGAAAGCGCACATATTGGGAGGACTTTAACCTTAATGATCTCAGTCTAATAAAGATTAATCTTAAGTTCAAAGTGACTTAGCATATTTTGAGTTAGGAGGGGGGGGGGGAGAAAGTAGATCTCGAACCGAGTCCATGTTCTGCGGCTCTTTCTCACTGTACTAGATCAATTGATCATATCTTAATGCATGAATCAAAAGTCTTCATGCATCATGATTCCTAATTGTAATGCATTCTACTGATCCATTCAGGATTTCCGGTCTTTGCTGGTTGGCACAATAAAATAATTCAGTGTAATCATAATTATGATAAATTAGAACAAATAGGTAATCCTTTATATCATAATTTTAACGATGCAATCCATATTCAATATTACATGAATCAACGTATGGACATCTATAGCCTTCATGAATTTTAACTGCTTCACATTTATTTTTAATATTTATATAAAATATAAATTTTATTCCATAACTCCTTAATGGCACCCTAAACAAATGTTCTGTAATCATCATTCCTATTACATCATAATATTATTTATTTACAACAGGATGCTATACAATGACGGTAACTGATCCTGCATAACTATTTTAAGGTAGCTTCTAATTGATATTTTGAGTACATGGTTTTTCTACATTTAATAAAATAACTTATTTTGTTACTTAGAAACGATATAAGATGATAAATATGAGGTAATAAGGCGGAGCATAGACAGTGACTGATTAATATTCAAATCCAATTTGTACCATTTGACCAGGTAAGATCCTAACAATTTCTATTAGAGATTTTCCTTATAATTTTTAAACATTAGAGTTAATGGGTAAATTTGTCTCGAACCTTTTTACTTAGAAGCTCTAAGTATCTAGAATTTTTTTAGGGTCAAATTTGCTTTAAAAGTTTAAAATCATAGTAATATTATCTCCTGCCATAAAAAAATAATATTGACCATTAATATTTTTAACCACAGGAAGTAATATTGCTATGATTTTAAACTTCTAAGCCAAATTTGCTCCCAAAAAAATTTCTGGATACCTAGTGATCCCAAGTGAAAACTTTCAAAGCGAATTTGCGCTTTAACCCAAATTATGCTCCTTCAATTCTTAATGTAATAATTTGAGTAGATTAAAGATGTTAGTTAAATTAGTTAATATGGTATATCTTTTCTAAAATACTCTAAGTATCTTTCTTAATTCTATCTCTCCCTCTCCTACTTAATTATTGTTGGAGGAATGTCAATTAGGTTGATTCAAGAAAAAAATTATAAACATGTGAAATAAGTCTTATATATAGGACTAATATCAACTCCCCAATTAGATCTTACATTAAAGACCGGAGGAGTATATAGGGATAGATTACTACCTCATGTTTTTAATATAAGAGTAAGTTTGCCGGTTGGATTTGATTTTAGGTATACAATATCAGTCTACTTTATCTCTCATAGTTATCAATACTTTTTAAAATAATTCATCTAACTTATAAATTGATATATAATTTAAAATCATATAAGAGTATTTTAGGAAGATCAAATCATATTTGTTATAATTAACTAATTTATTTGACCCTTTTAATCTATGTAAATTAATTAAGTAGTTCTTATATATTAAGAATAGAAGAGAGTAAAAGACTATATTACCTTATTTGAAAGCAAGGCATAAACAATTGCAGACTATAGAGTTAATTTAATTTTCCCTTATTTTAATGTCAAAAAAAGTATAAGGGAATCAAGATCGTTCCACAAATAACTATAGTTAAAGAGATTAGGCACAAACTAAATCCCATTTCATCTTAGTTAAACTAATCAATTTACGAGTGAATTGTCAAAAGAAGTATATTCAAGTGCAATTAAAAGCAATGAAATTCAAATTAACTCAAAGGGAAGGCAAGCAATTAAGAGACACCCTAAGAATTATAATCCCCTCTACGCTTTGCGATTCAATTTCTGCTGGTTATTGAGCTTAATTTAAACTTTAGAATCAAGGTTAATAATTAGATATAAGTTTCTTTAAATCCACCTGTACCCATATTCTAACTTCATTCTATGATGCATAGAAGCTTTATCGTGATTACTTAGGGCCCTTTAGTGTGTTTCTATCTCATAAAATGCAAAAATTTTATAATCCTTATAAGTTGCTTAACGAGATGTCTAAATGCAATTCCCTTCTTTCAAAGGCAAACTCCAACACCCAAATCATACACTAGAGTTGGCCATCCACCAGCATCAGGAAAAAAGAATTCAAATTAAGTAAACACCATTGCATTAAACAAAAACAATAACCAATGAGAAACTTAGTTCACTTAGTTGTTTGTGTTAAAATTAAGGATGATCATTGAGCCACTAAAATTTTACTATCAAACTAATGCAATATATTTATAGGAGTTAGTTACTTAGCTTTGACTATTGGTCATTGACAATTTTTTTTGCGAAGTATTGACTGCATCCTAATAGATATTAACAACTTAAGTTTACCATGTAGCAAGGCCACTCTTTCATGTTATTTACAATTTTTTTAATAAGTATTGACTACATTTCAGTAGCTACTAACAATTTTGAAATAGAAATTAACAAGTTGCAATTTTAACCTAAATAATAATTATGTCATTTTCCCTAATAGTAATTATTATTTCTTTTTATTATTTTTTAAATTTGTATATGTACTAGCTCTAAAAAATTTTGTGCCATCTTCATGCCAACTCTGGATGAACAATCTTATTATAATGTGATTTATTTTTGTGCTAAAATTTCCATCCTCAAGTAATTTTTTTACCAGCGTATGCTAAAGTTCTTAACATGCATCGCACCTAGATTAAAAATCACTGGAATGGTGCATAAAGATCTTACCGTCGAATCAGACACTTGCAGTCATTGCCTCGCAAAGGGATGAGACAAGAGCAAGTTAGGGAAATTTAGAACAAGCAATTATGATTCTTAACAGGGCCCACCTTTGAAACCTGACTTTGTGTTTCTTAATAAGAATAAGAAAGACGTAATCATAATAATTATTATTAGGAAAAAATGACATAATAATTATAATAAAAAAGGCATAATAATTATTATTTAGGTTAAAATTGTGACTTGTTAATTTTTATTTCAAAGTTGTTAATAACTATTGAAATGTAGTCAATACTTATGGAAAAAAAAAGAGTTGTGAATGACCTAAAATAGTGGCCTTGTTACTTGGTAAAATAAAGTTATTAATACCTACTGAAATGTAATCAATACTCATACAAAAGTTGTGAATAATGACATAAAAGATCGATCTTCACTACTATAAAAGAAGTCATTTTCGTTTCTCATTTTGGTCTATTTTTCAAAATAGAGGAAAAACGACCCCTATAGTCGTCTTTTATAAGGTAACAAACAAGTATGTACATACATACTCATTTGCTAGAATGTAACAGACGAGTATGTAGATATATATTCATCTATTACTTATGTAACAGAAAAAAAGCTTTTCATTTTAAATTTTAACCTCCAGACCGCAGCACCATTTTTTCATCAGATTAGAGTGAGCCCAGTAGTAGTTTTCTCTTCTTCTCCTCTTCTCCTTCATTGCAAGCTTATTCTTCTCCCTCTTCCTCTCTTCTCTTGCGACAGCTACCATCCTTCTCTCTTCTCCTTCTTAGCCGATAGTAGCTCCTTC